GATGAGAATTTAAAATCAATTACATGGCATAACTCACATTATTATATTAACTAATGCATATAATATCATAAGCCTCAAAAAAATAAAAAGAATCAATTATTAAATAATATAAGATTTATTTTTTAATATTTTAAATGATATAACTTATGTCACATAATTGGTTCTAGATTTTGATCCCAAATTTTAGTTTCATTTATCATTATTTTAAAAAAATTTAGAAATTATAATGCTCATTGCACTCATAGTAACTTTCTTTCTATGTTAGTAGAATAAAATAGCTTTGCTGATGCTCCTACCATAATTGTTATTGTAATCTCTAAATATAAATAACTCTATATTTAATTTTATATGTCCATCAGGGGTGTAGTTTCTATTTATTTCTATTGTTGTAGAATATACTTCTATTTTGACTATAAAATATAATATAGATTCATATGTAATTTCAATTTTATTATTTTAATATAATAACTCTTGAAATTAGTATTTATTAGTTGGATTTTTAAAAACTTAAAACAAAAAACATTTTAAAACTACATTATTTTAATAAAACACAATAAAAAATACAAAAACACTATCATTTCTACTTAAAATATTATTTTAGTAATTTCAATAAAAATTTATTAAAATAATGTAGTTTAGGGACCATGTTCCTTCTAACTTTTTAAAAATCATGTTAACAAACACTTTCTGTTATATCTATTTCTTAAAAGAAAAAGTAACAAGAAATAATCTTTTCCAAAGAAAGTTAATGATAATTAACATAAAAAAAAAAAGTTGATTATAACTATTTTTTACCCATCTTCTAATTAAAAAAAAAAAATGATTGATTTTATTCCACCCCAATTTCTAGATTGTCAATTAAAATTCTTAAATTTATATATGTAATTAAGCATAGCGTTTCACTTTGATTCCTCTAACACTAAACTCGCTGCACTTTCCTACCATATTCTCGTTTCTTTTACTCTCATCCCAACTTGTTCCCTCCATTGTCTTAGCTCAATCCTTGTTTTCGTCGAACAACAACGAAGAAATTGAGAAAAAACAATGTCGTCCTTTGTTATTGAAGAAACCAAGAAGCTATGGGCCACATGGAACATCAGGGTATTCGTCATTGTTAGCCTTTCGGTGCAGGTCTTCTTAATTCTGTTTGCGCCATATAGAAAAAGGAGAGGTAAGATATATGGGAAATGCGTCGACTTGTTGATCTGGTCGATTTACTTGTTGGCTGATTGGGTTGCCGGTTTTTCAATCGGATTGATCGTAAGCAAGCAAATCAAAAGTCCTACTGAAAGTAGTGACATCCAGGTCTTTTGGGCACCCTTTCTCCTATTGCACCTCGGTGGTCCTGACACCATTACTTCCTTCGCTCTCGAAGATAATGAGTTTTGGGTGAGGCACTTGCTTGGGCTCTTGTTACAGGTTGGTTCTACTGCCTACGTCTTCATTAAGTCCCTTCCAGAGAACAAGCTTTGGCTCCCAACCATACTGGTGACAGTGGCAGGAATAATCAAATACGCGGAACGTAACCGTGCATTTTATCTTGCAAGCTTTGATCATCTTGGAGATGGCTGGGTGCCTAGCGAATGGGGAGATGAACTTCCGATTCCAGTGGAATTCCGAAGGATGGACGCCAAAACCATGGAAAAATTTGAGAAAAGTCTCAAGTCAATATTATGGACAGCAGTTCACCACTTTGGCACTATCAAGATGACACTTGTAGGCCCTTTTTTATCTCCAGATCAATGCTCTGATATCAGGGAAACCTTTCTCCAATTGGAAAATTCATCTCACGTGTTGCAAGCAATGGAAATTGAGCTAAGCCTGTTGTATGAGGTTCTTCACACCAAATTGCCTGTGGTTGGTTGCATGATTGGATACGTTTTCAGGTTCATTACCATGTGTTGCATCTTGGGAGCCTTGTTATCATTCTCATTATTTATGAAGCATTATGAGTTGGAGCAGTTTGACATCTGGCTAACCTATGGGTTGCTAATCGGGGCCTTGCTATTGGAATTCATGTCTATCATATTGCTCAGTTTATCCGATTGGATTTTGGCTGCTCACATCCAGAGTATGGAGTCCAAATTCTTCAATAAGCGCAGGTGGTGTAGAGTAGTTTCGCAGTTGAATTTTATTACTTACTATGTTAAATATTCCCCGGTCTTGTTAAGAGACATTGCTAATTATCTTGGCATACGGATTTTATTGGAAGCCATAAAAGGAATCCTATGTCTCTCTTCTCAAAATTTTAGAGAAGACCAATGGCACTTCATTTATGAGGAAGTGAAAAAATTGAGCACATCCTTAATGGAAGATGCATCTCGGCCAACTGGGCTAGATGCCAATCAAGCTTGGAAATCCAATAGGAAACAGGCTCTTGAGAGCTTTAGCAATTCTACGGACATCGCCAATATCTTGGAGGAGTTAGATTACTCAAAAAGTGTATTAACATGGCATATAGCTACTGAAATATGCTGGCTGCAGACTGAAGAAGACCAAACGTCTACCTCTAACGGCTTCAATCACAAAGAAATATGCAAGCTGCTTTCAGACTATATGTTTTACCTTCTAGTAATGCACCCAGCTATGATGGCAGCTGTCTCAGTGAGTTGGAAAATAGTGTTTGCAGACACATTGGCAGAGGCAGAGTCACTAGTAAGCAGGAGGTCAATCTCATCAAATGAAAAGGATGTCAAAAGGCAAATATCAAAGGCTAGCAAAAAAATCCTTGAACTGATACCAAATGCCAGAAATCCACAAAGGGATATTGATAGATCAGTATTATTTGCAGCCTCTGCGCTAGCCAAACAGCTGAAGAAATCATATCCTTGGGAGTCAATGAGCATAGTTTGGGTACATTTAATGTGCTTTGCTGCTATTAATTGCAGGCCTCAGGTCCATGCGCAGCAACCTAGTAAGGGAGGCGAACTTCTCACATTTGTTTGGTTG